TTCTTCAGAGGTAAATGTTTATATCATTTCAAAGGAGGGATCCATTACCATTAATGCTTTTCATTTTCCTATAGATTATCATTGTCTATGAGAGTTTTTATAAAATACTTAGTATGGCTTCAGGGGAAAAAACCCTCTCACACATGTTTCTGTAGTTAATCAATGGGAAATTAAATTATTGAAGCAATTCAAAATGAAACCTCCCCAAACTTTTTCTGTTAATCAAAACTTCCTAATGTTATTAAGTCTCAAATAGAAACTCAAATAGTCTTAACTTCTTTTCTAAATCAAATGTATTGGTAGTGGTTGCTGTATTTCTGTCAAATAGAAATATTTTTACAATATCTAGAACCCATAAATTAATTTAGAATATCTTCCAAAGTGTCAGCCCCAAACCCTTTGGTGAAATATCAGTATATAATGTAGACCGGCCAAGTTACATATAATTTTTATTTATTCTTCTCTTCTGGTGGTGATGAAGTGACATTTCAAAAGGTAACCTAGAATGGATGATCTCTATGGAAGTTCTGTTATTTGGACTGCTCATGTCAATTTTCAAACACCTTATAATAGGATCATAGACACCTATCTGAGGAGCTAGGGATCCTGTGTTAATCACTTACAAATTATAGGAATATGATTTTTCAGGAGTCATCTTGTCATATAAATCTCTCATAAGAACAACAAGGAAAGAAGAGATTTAAAACAATGACAATTCCTTAATAATGACCCCATCACCACCACTACCACCACCACCACCACCACCACCACCACCACCATCACCAAGGCTTTAGTTTGTAGTAAACCAGCTCTGTTTAGCACATTTAGGAGAATAAATGAAGGCCCATGAAAACATCTAAGCACTGGAACCTACCTTTACCTCGCTTCAGGAAAGCCTCAGAATAAATTGCCAGAGAGACACTGAGTCGTTTTTGACTACTTTCTTGAAGACAAGCTGACAGTAGGAAGAAGGGATCTCACAAACCTTAAATTAGTGGACTTTTTTCCTGGTACTTTTTACTTACAAGACTGGAGGAAAGATGTTTGAACTAAAGCTAGAGATAGGTACTGTAGCAGCCAGCTTCCAACATGGCCCGCAATGATTCTCACCTCCTAATACGATGATTCTCACCTAATATTCTTCCTGCTGTATTGAGTAGGGATGATCTATTTAACCAATAAGATTTTTTTTTAAATGAAAAAGAATAATTATGAGGCTACTTTAAAAAAAAAAAAAAGCATTGCTTCTACCTTGATCTTTTGGATCATTCAGAGTGGGAAGAAGATAGCTGTTGTGTCATAAGGACACTCAAGCAACCCTAAGGAGATGTTTATGTGGTGAAGAGCTGCAAACAGCTATGTTGAGTGAACCATCTTGGATGCAGACCCTCTAGCCCCAGTCAGACCTTCAGTTATCTGCAGCCATAGCATAGAACCAAAGCCAGAACCACCTAGATAAGCCACACCCAAGTTCCTGATCCATGGAAAATGTTTGTGATAATACATATTTATTGCTGTTCTGAGCCATAAATTGGGTGGGAGGGTAATTGTTTATGCAACAATAGATAACCAATAAACAACAAATAACTAATAAGTGACAGAAACAGAATTTAAATCCAAGTTTGACCCTAAAGGTTAGCTCCTAAAGGGTTGAAATTTTCCCAATGAAATTTTTAGCAGTTTTCTTTGATTTACCTATTAAAATAATTTATTATTTAAAATGAATCCAATTTGTATCCTATGTAGATACATCAATCTTTTTCATTGTTCAATCAGTGACATCATTCCGTATTTACTAATGTTTAACAAGTGAGGTCTTAAATACAGTCAATTAGAGGTCAATTAATAACCATGTCTTTTTTCCAAGTATTAATTACAAATATTTCTGGAGAAGTCTGACTCATGTTTCAGGAGTTGTTTTTCTGTTAAGATTCCTCATAGAACTTTATATCTTATGAGATATTAATGTGCACCATTCCAACTAATTTGCCCCTTCTCTTGCTCTTCTGCTGAAACCATTTGAGTATACAGTTTTAATTTCCTTAAGAAGAAAAATTAGTGAGCTGTTTCCGAATTGTTCTTCACTAGAACTCAACATGGTTTTATGTACCACTTCAAAGTTCTACTCAAAAATTGTATCTAAATTTTACATGTCATAATTTTTTTCCTTTCTCAATTGCCATTTCAACCTTGGAAAAATAATATTTTACTTTGAAAGGTCTAAACATGTCAGACTAAAGAAACAAATATTTGTATCCCTTGGTCCAAGTGACATGAGTCAACGTGAGATGTTATAGAATATCTCAACTTGACTATCAGACCTAAATGTTATCACAGTAAAAATGGGGCTTTCTTTATCCAACTGAATGCTCATTTACTTTGAGACAGAGCACCTATAACTACCTTTTTAAGAAGTCTTCTATTTCTCTCACTTAAACATCTCTAATTATAAAGATCTGAATTTTCAAAATATAAAATTCTTTGTTAATTAAAAATATTAACCATAGAAAGTATTTAGATAGTAGCACCTCTAGAGTTCTATTTACAAACATTTGTTTATATATAGATTTGATAAAGTAAAATATAACTCACAAACATGTATTAGTCCACATACATTATATTTCATAAACAAAATTGCCTACTTTAAGTTTCTTAAAAGGAATCTTAACTTGTCCCATTACTTATTTGATATGTATTTTTCTTATAACTTGCTGCTTTCATTCTGGCCATTCAAGTCATGAAATAATTAGATGTCTGATTTTTCAAGTCTTCTAGCTGGATTAAGAGAAGGCTTCCTATTTACCTAAACCTTAAGTTGAATTTTCTTTTTTTGTTTGTTTGTTTGTTTATGGGAACCATATACCATGCCATCTCATACATATGCATCTCACCAACTTCCATCAAAAAGAGAAATAATATAAATTAGAGTAAGAGATAAGACTTCGTGTTGTGGTAAAATACACATAGTATAAAATTTATCGTTAGCACCACTTAGTATTTTCACAATGTTGCACAATCATCACTAATATCTAATTAACATTTTCATCAACCCTGAAGGAAACCCTATACCCATTAAGCCGTTACTTTCCTTTTCTTCATCTCCCTACCCCCAAGCAACCACCAATCTACTTTCTGTCTCTATGGATTTGCCTATTGTGGACATTCAATACAAATAGATTCCTATAATATATGACTTTTTGTGCCTGGCCTCTTTCACTTAGCATAATGTTTTCTGGGTTTATTCATGTAAGAGTACTTTGTTCTTTTTTATGGATGAATACTCCATTGTATAAATATACTACATTTTGTTTATCCATTAATCAATTGATATACATTTAGGTTGCTTACACTTTTTGGCTATTATGAATAGTGCTGCTATGAACAGAAACATTATGTACACATTTTTGTTTGAACGTCTGTTTTCTTTTTTTTTGATACATATTTTTTATTTTAAAATTGTGGGGTACAGTTAAAGGGTTAGGTATACAAATATGCATTATGTAGGTACACTTGTTGATGAGGTGTGCCCCCCCATCCCCAGACAGATATTGACTACCGTTAAACCCACGTCCCTTCCCCTCGCTGCTCCCCCCATAGTTTCCCGCCACTGTCAATCCTTTTATTATAGTATTACGATAGTTGTTCAAGGCCCACTTATGAGTGAGAACATGTGATACTCAGATCTTTGTTTCTGTGAGAGATCACTCAGTATTATAAACTCTAATTCCGTCCAGGTTGTTGCAAAATTCATGATTTTCTTTTTTTTTATGGCTGTGTAATATTCCATTGTGTATATGTACCACATTTTTTAAATCCAGTCCTCTTTGATGGACAGCATGGTTGGTTCCATGATCTTGCTATTGTGAACAATGCTGCGATAAACATACGTGTGCAGGTATCTTTTTTATAGAGTGATTTGAGTTCTTCAGGGTATATTCCCAGTAGGGGGATTGCGGGGTCATATGGAAGGTCGATTTTTAGAGCTTTTAGGAATCACCACACTGGTTTCCACAGAGGCTGCACTAGTTTACACTCCCACCAACTGTAGAAGTTGAACATCTGTTTTCAATGTTCTTGCGCATTGGTCCCCAACCTTTTTTGGCATTGAGGACCAGATTCATAGAAGACAAGTTTTCAACAGATGGATTGGGGGAGAGGTAATCAGGCATTAGATTCTCATAAGGAGCATGCAACCTAGATCCCCCACACATGCAGTTTACAATAGGATTCATGCTCCTATAAGAATCTAATGCCGCCGCTGATCTGGCGAAAGACAGAGCTCCGCTTGCCCACTGCTCAACTCCTGCTGTGTGGCCTCGCTCCCAACAGGTCATGGAGTGGTATTAGTCCATGACCTGGGTGTTGGGAACCCCTGCTCTTGGGTATATACACAGGAGTGGAATTGCTGGGCCACATGTGTAATTCAGATGAGCCATAAAGTAAAATCTTACTAAACCAATAAGTAGGCTTTTTTTGGAAGGTGAGGATCATATTGTTATTTGTCTTTTGTTATGATAACTTTTCTAGGCTCCTACATAGGAAATGGAATATGGGAGTTTAAACCAGGAGACCATAAGATGGCATCACCAACCCATACCCAACATGAGAACTAACCATTTTTTATACAAATTGCCAACTGATATAAAGGTAGTTGAAGGTACTCACCTCTAGCAGGTGTGCTAGTATATGCCTTCAGACAATGAAGGCTACAGGCAAGTAACAGAAGTATTTCCATATAGCTTTGGAGTTAGATAAACCTTAGTCAAATTACAGATGGTTACCCTTAGGCCACTCACTAAATTTTTCCGTTATAGTTTCTACATCTGTAAAATAGGGATAGTAATCCTTGCTTCCTAAGACTGATATAAAAATAGGGCATAGCTTGGCATATAGTTGGCCCTTAATAAATATTAGTTTTCTTTTCCTCATATATTCTTACACTTTTCAAATTAGCTGTTCTCCAAGATAATGGTATTTCTCTTCTCATTTTTCACTATCAGGTTAAAATTAAACTGCCAAATACAAATCCAAGTGAAATTGAAGTTGATATTCAGGAAATGATCCTTGACCTTCGTACTCCTAATAAGTGAGTAAAGATTAGAAACAGAGTAGTGTATTATAATACTAATGAGTTTTTAGTCAATATCATTTTTAAAGTGTATATACTTATTTTGCATCAATCTCTAAAGTCTGAAGAAAAGTGAAAAATTCAGTTAATTTTTCAGATGTTTGATCTACATAATCCAAACATAAATATGTGTGGAAATAATTAGGATTATTTTTTACTTTGCATCCATACATTTGGAGTGGGTTAATACTATCAAAACATAATCTTGACATTCAGATACAGTTTATCTGTCAGAAAAAACAACTAGAAGTGAAAACACCGTAAGTTGTAAGTTGTCTTGCATGTGTTTTTGTATGTTGATTTCATAAGATAAGAAATATCTTTAAACTTTTTGTATTTTGTGGGGCTTTAAGGTTAAACTTGATTGTTTTAATCTTAAAAATCAACAAAAAGATCTTGTCCTCAATTGCTCAAACAAAAATTCTGTAATGGCTAATTTTTTACTAGATTCCCAATCTGTGTGAATACATTTTAAATACAGAAGATCATGGAATAATTCAGTTAAACATTTTAATATTTTCAAACATGGTTTTTTGTTACATAGGTTCAAATCATGTTACAAAAACATAACACATACAGTAAAATTTTGATATAAAATGTGTCTCTTAAAAATGGGTAAATCTGTCCTTCTCTCAAAGCTAAAGAAGGACTTAATGGAACCTAGTGCATGTTAGAGAAAATATCTAAATATCTCACTTTGTACACTTCTCACCTGAATATTGAGCAGTAAGCACACATTCATTGCAATGGTCCTTTCTTTAACTCATGCACATTTCAAACTGGGTTTGGGGAGCCGGTAGTTACTGGCACATTCTCCTTCTTCCATTATCAGTGCCTATAACTCTCCTTTGTTGAACTTAGGACTTCAAGAAAATGTAAAGTAGATCCCTCCTACAAAAGATTTCTGTGTGTAAACAACCCAGTGTGCATATATAGGTTAATCTTGATTTCTGTAGTAGCTGCATTTAACCCAAAATGGTCTATAGATGAATATATATCAAATATTTTCTATTTTTTTTTTGCATCATTTCAAATATATATTCTCACAAAACAATTGTCTCATGTTATAAAAACTACATTAATTCTTTCTGACATTTACTTGAAAAAGTATCATGCCCTTTGGTGGAGAGATGAAAAATCACCTATTGGGTTCAATGTGCACAAGTGTGGGTAGTAGGTACGCTTAAAGCCCAGACTTCTTCACCGCTATACAATGCATCCATGTAACCAAAAACTATTTGTACCCCCTAAAGCTATTGAAATAAAGAGAGGGGGGAAAGTATCATGCCCTTTTCACTGCATTTTATACATATATTTACTCTTCCACATAACCTTTGCAAGGAAAGTTGGCTAAATGAACAGTCAATCTTTCATGATATTTGCACACTTGTTAAAAGCACACACATATCTACACACCATGGAGTTAATTTCCGTTTCCCTAGCAGTTCTCACTGTCTCCGTCAATCTTTAGGCAGCTGCTATGGCTATGTTGTCATTACAGATATCTATCAGAGCCCACTAAATGAAAGTCTCACACAGAGGTACTTTTTCACATAACATGGACTGCACTAGGTCATTTGGATAATAGTTTACTTGTATATTAAATGCTCAGTGCAGAGAAGTACTATCTCTTAAGAAAACTTTCTTAATAAAGATAGAAGACAGACGATAAAAATAAGGTTGTTTTTTTTTTAAATCACAGTTCCTAAATGCCTGAGCATCTTTGAGAACCATGCTATTATCTGAAATTTTATTATCAAAAATGTGTCTTGTTTTTGAGTTTGTTGATATTCACACCTACTTTTTTTTAGTTTCCAACTTTGGCATTCTATAACACTATGTTTATCTACTCCAAGAAAGATTTAAGAGAGGTAATTCTGTTCATGTATCTATAAGACAGAAACAAGTGAATTTATTTTAACTGAATTGACCAGTAATTAGTCAAGCCAATAGTCAGTTGCATTAGAATTATCAATAAATCCAGGCATCTAGCATTATACAGTCAAAATAAATAAAGCAGTTTACTGAATTCTTCATTTTATTCAATTGGTTGTTTTAGCATGTAGATTCCCAGCATGGAATAGATGGAAAGGAGGAAAAAGGGGGGAAATTAGATAATTTCCCAGAATCTCCTGACTTAAGTCTTCATATGAGGTTTCATTATTTTTCTAAGTGAATTCTAAGAATATCATAAATGAATACCTTGAGTGTGATAATAAAAACACATTTGAAAGACAAATATAAGCCAATTTTTTGTTGAGTGCTGCTTTAGATTATTCACACATTTGCTGTGTTCCTTTAATTCAGATTAATTGAGAGTTGACTGATGTTCAAAGACACTGATGCTTACAAAAAAACAGTTTTCTAAATGAAATAGTTGAATTGCAGCTCAATAGCTATTTCTGTACTTTCTTTGAAAATAGTTATGACTCCTACAGGAAATGTTAAAAGTGGATGCAAAAGATGTTTAAAGTTCATCCTCTAAACAAATATTTTTAAAATTGTAAACCAGATATGTAAACCAAATTATTGTGTTAACTACATAAAGTAAAAACTACATTATATGAATATGCACAGAACCAGCTTATCCCTTATTTAAATATCTTGCAAGCAACATTGACATAAACTCTCTATTATAAATATAATCATGTAAGTCTCTAAACTTGAGTTCACTGTATAGATATTTTTGTATTTACCTTTATATATAATTGTTTGCATTTAATTTCTAATGAAAATTAACACTGGATGAACAATTGATCAGTGCCTAGACTGTATCTTCTTAAAGTGCAAATAAATCATCAATGTAAAGGCAGAGGTATTGGGTTTAAGTGTTTATTAATATTTTATAGTACTAATCCATGGTAATTATTTAAATGTTGTTTTGCGGTGACTTGAATACTTGCTTTTCATTTATGTATGAATTCACTCAACAAACGTTTATAAAGTCTTCTGCTAGACAGCCGGGGAGCACTAAATAAGATACAGTCCTATGCTTCAATGAACTGTACTTGAATAAGTATTTGTAAAATTTTTATTTTGTGTATCTATAAATCCCTATCTAGATAATAAGACAGTAAAACAGACTAGACAAAATACTTCCCTTCTCCTTAAGAGCCTAAATGAGTGGCACAGTTTCAATGTTCAACATTTTAGTATGTGAAGCTATGCTACTCAGAACTAGACAAAAATGCAGGAATAGATGGATCATTCCAACGGCCACTATCTCTTTTGAATTTATTTCTCTCTGGACAGAGAAGTGCACATTATCATTGGAACTCCTTCGGCTGATTTATAGTTGTCTTTTAATGCAGTGAAGCTACCATACTAAGCTTGGCTTTCTTTTTAAAGTGAATATATTATCATTTATAGGACAAGAGATAAAGCAAATCTAACTCTAACACAACTTACATTGTAAACAGCTTTAGAAGATAGATTCTACACGTTTTTTGCTTCCACTTTTTCTTGATATGCCAAATATTACAGGCTACATTAAAATACATTGCCATTTAATTACTTCAAGTGGAAAGAACTATTTCTCTTACCCCATCTAAAATGGAAAAAGGTTTACGTTCCAGAAATGTATAATAAATACTTTGAATGAGTCCATTATCCTGAACTTGGGTTTTTGCAAATAAGTAAGAGAATTGATTTTCAAGGATTTTGTTTTCAAATATGTGCTAGTTCTCCATTCAAGTACTTTATAAGTACTCCTAAAGAACACGAGATTCTTTTACCGATTTGGGTATTATACCTTCTGAAGGAGCTTTCTCTTCCATTTCTAGAGATATTCAGACCCTCTCTAGTGAGATTGTGAGGTAGCAAGTGTTTCATGCATTTAATTTTCTTCAGATACCAGCATTTGCTGACCCCATTCATAATTCAAATTCATACTGCTATGACAGAATCATGGATGTCTCATCCCAGCAATGCATCTAACACATACAACTATCCAGCAACTGAACCATAAACTGCAAAATAAACCTAGCAATCTATCACAGGGAATTTTTGTCAATGTGTAGTAGAAAGAATCAGAAGCAAGCAGAGAGACGCACTTTCATTGATCTAGTATTGAAATCATTCAAGGCTTAAGTTTTTTTTTTAAATTTTTATTATAAAGATGTGGGGTACAATTCAGGGTTAGGTGTATAAACTGATCATGCAGGTACCCTTGTTGATGAGGTATGCCCTTCCCTCCCCTTCAAGGCTTAAGTTTTAAACACTACACCTGTGGTAAAGACTCAGCTTAAAGATGTGTTAGGAAAAATGTTATAGAGCCATTTCAATTTTCAAGTTTGTGTCAGTCGACCACATTCCATCTGCACATAAGTATGACTGGCAACAGGTCTGTCTAATAAACTTAAAGTTATGTGATTCTATTTCTATGCCTATAGACATAGCCTAACAATATATTTACACAATGAAAAATTAGGTCAATTATGAAAAAAGAGGGGAACCAAAACAAGTGCTTGGATTTTTAAGACCAAAAACCGGTATATTACTTGTGTTATTTAGGCATGTTTTTGATACAAAATTTACACTAGCTAAGTAGTGGGAGTTTTATGATTTTTAACGTTCCAATGGTATATGCTGCTTTCTCTTGTCTTATTAGAAGTGATATATTGCTTTAGGAAGCTAAAGCTAAGTTGTTATTTTGTTGTTGTTGTTGTTGTTGTTTTAGGAAGCTGATGATAACTCTTCCCCAACCTGTTGAATGCAGTAGTGCCAAAGGATTCTATATTCAAGAAACTGAGACTCTTGAAGTCAACCTGACTATGAAAAAAGAGTTTGATTTTAATTTCTTCTGAAACTGCATGAGTAAGGAGAAAAAGTGGTAAAATGGCATTCGTAACACTTAAAAAACTCTGAAGAAATTGGTTTGTGTTTTCTATATTATCTTTATTATTTTGACATATTTTGGAAAGGGACACAATTTAATTCCAGTGATATTCTGATCATCTACAGTCTTCTCTATTATTCTGTTAGGAAATATTGTTTTCTCATACTAATCTGCTATTTTATTTTTATAGTGATAGCTGAAAGCTTAGCTGACTAGATTATTACATGATCAATTTCATAACTGAACTATGACCACGAAATGGTTGGTCTACTTATTTCAGTAGTCTGACAAAACTTATGCCAATTAATTAAACTAAGATACAATCAGTTGCATAGCAATTGGTCATTACTATCACCAGAAAAGCTTAATTGGTTGCCTTTTCATTGATTTGATCAAATGACTTAGAGTGTTCTCTGTTTTAGACTCTTATGATTGCTCTGGAATATACATGTAACAAAGAATTTAAATAGTTTGATGTACCATACTAGCCACAAGTTTACTCAAAGAAGAAATACTTTTGAGCACACAGTAGTATTTGGCTTCTTTAGTCATGCTTTCAATGCTTGGATATAATTAGGCTAAAGTATTTTATGTGTACTAATAATTATTAACAATGCCTGTTTGGGTACTGTATTTATATTTAGTTAATTGAAATCCTCGACATTTAAAAGGAATATAAAGAAAAGTGTGGTACGTTTACAGATTCCGTTTTCTTCATTTTAAAAAATATTTCTTCTTAATTGGACATACCTTTTTTTATGAATTGTTCCAATGCCCCTGTTTCTTCTATACTGTATTGTGTATGTTTATTTCAGAATTATTTATGAATAAATTATATTTTAAAGCTTGTGTGACTTGGTCTCACATAGTATTGTGAAACTGTAAAGTTACCTATGAGTAAATTTTGAAAAGATATGAACAACTAAATGATGTTCATCACTTATAGGTGAACTATTAAGGGAATAAATATTCAAGTAGGTTTTTTTAGAGTTAATTATTTGTATAACTTCCAATCCTAGTTTAATAACTACATCAAATAGAATGAAAAGACTAACGTTGGAAAACTAGGTTGTGTTAAAACTCTCAGCTCTTATAGAGAATTTGACATTTAAACTACCACCATGACAAGAATTGAGGGTGAGATTAACTGAAAGGAAGCTAGTATATGTCCTTCATTTACAAGACCTACTGTGGAGTGATCTACTTTGCTTTTTTAGCATCTTTTTTAAAGGGTATGTTTTAAGGACTTAAAATTACACCCTAAAAATTTAAACTCTGGGGCAAATCTAGGCAGTAACTGTAACAAAGTTCTCCAAAAAGACAGAATTAATAGGATATATAGAGAGAGATGTGAAAGAATTTATTAGAGGGATTGGCTCACATGACTATAGAGTCTGAGAAATCCCTCGACAGTTCGTTGGCAAACTGGATACCCTAGGATGCCGGTTGTGGCTCAGTCCAAGTTCAAAGACCTCAGAACCAGGGAAGCCAATGGTGTAATTCTCAGTCCAAGTCCAAAGACCTCAGAACCAGGGAAGTCAATCATCTAATTCTCAGTCCAAGGCCAAAGGCCTGAGAACCAGACAGGGGTAGATGGAAGGCAGGAGAATGCTGGCATAAGTTCTAGAGTCCAAAGGCTAGGGAGTCTGGAGTTGTCCCAGGACAGGAGAGCAAGAATGTAACCCAGGTCCAGCAGATAGATCAACACATTTGCTGTTTCTCTGTTTTTGTTCCTCTGGACCCCCAGCAGATTGGGTGGTGCCCATCCACATTGAGGGCAGGTCTTCCCCACCTAGTCCTCTCAAACTCACATGCTAATATCCTCTGGAAACATCCTCAGAGACACACCCCAAGATAATGTTTTACCAGGTTTCTAAGTATTCCTTAATTCACTTAAATTGACACCTAAAATTAACCATCACAGTAACCAATATTTTTTTCCTCTCTAGAAACTACTGTAGGTCAGTGGCAAATGTATCTCTTTTTCCTATGTTTTGGCCCTAATTACAAGGACCATTATTACTCAAGCTGACTGAATGTGAACAAGTTGTCCCTGAAAGAGAAGACAGAGCATATCCAGGCCAACTTGAATTGGGTTTTGGTTATGTGGTGCTATATCAATTATATAATGAAACAGAGCTTCAAGAACAATGAAATGTGATCCAGTGATTTATACCCATCTAGAAATTATCCTACTTCATTGTCCTTGGCCTTAGAAGTAACAACTACAGTGGTTATTTGTTGTTTTGTTTTTAAGCTAAGTAAATTTTCTCTCCTTAAAGAGGAATAGTCCCACTAAAACAAACGTGGAAAAGAGGATACAAGAGAAAATTTATCTTGTCAGCATTTATTTATTTATTTTTTTATATCAATATTTTTTATTTTGATATTGTGGGGTACAGCTAAGGGTTAGGTATACAAATATGCTTCGTTCAGGCACCCTTGTTGATAAGGGGTGTCTCCCCATCCCCAGACAGAGATTGACTACTGTTAATCCCACCTCCCTTCCCCCTCATAGTTTCCCACCACTGTCAGTCCTTTTTTTATAGTATTACAATGGATGTTCAAGGTCCGCTATATGAGTGAGAACATGTGATACTGAGATCTTTGTTTCTGTGAGAGGTCACTCGGTATTATGTTGTCAGCATTTATTACTGAACCTTAGCCATTATCAAGATAACTGAAAGTTAAGCCACAATTGTGGCCTACATACACTTCTCGTTCATGAACTCTTTTACTTCATTGTTTTGTTCCATAATATCCAGTAGCTTTTGTGGGCATTCAATCACTCACTCATTCACTCACTCATTTCTGCAATCTTTCTTGAAAGCAGAATTTATTGAGAAGACAGAAAAGCTCCCACAGTGAAAGGGGACCGAGGCAGTTGCCCTATGCATTCTTTCAACAAATATCCACTGAGCACTTATCACATGCTTAGCACTGTTTGGTGCTGGGGATATATAGCAACAGCAAATCAGATGTGTACTCCCACTCTCATGGAGCAGACAGTATAGCAAGGGAGACAAACAATAATAAAGTAAACACATAAATATATTTTTTCAAGTTATAATTACTGTTATGAAGAAAAAGAACAGAGAACAAAATCTGATATGGGAAGGGGAGCAGAAAAGGCTTCACGAAGGATTTAACATTTCAGCTGAAAAATAAAGAATATCTAGGATTTAGGTAAAGAGAGAGTTGAGAGAAGGAAAGCAGTAAGACTTTCAGGTGCAAGGAGTAGCAAATGAGAGGATCCAAGATGTATGATAAGGCTTGGGGAGTTCAAGGAAATGAAAGCCAATGTGGTTACAGTAGAGTGAACCTGAGAGAATGTGATTGGAAGTAAGATTGGAAATGTAGGCTGAAACAGTGTCATGTGGAATATTGTAGGCTAAGGTTGAAAATTTGAACTTTAAGTGCTTGGTGGAAGAAAACGTATTAGGAGGCAATAATGGAAAGGAAACACCAGTTAGAAGTCTATTTTAATAGCCCAGGCAAGTTATTTTTCTACATGTTATCCTAAATAAAATATATTGTTGATTTTTTTTTTTCTGATTAGAAAAAATACACTCTGCCTGCTATGGTTTGTTTCCACCAAAACTCATGTTGCAGCTTGGTTCTCAATGTAGCAGTGTTGGGAGGTGGGGCCTATTGGGAGGTGTTTGGGTCCTGGCGTCAGCTCCCTTGTGAATAGATTAATGCCATGTCTCAAGAGTGAGTTCTCGCTCTCACTGAACTGCAAGAGTGGGTTATTATAAAGTGAGATTGCTCCTCGTGTTGGCTTTCTTTGCTGGCCCCTCCAACTTTCTGCTATGAGGTGAAGCAGTACATGACCCTCTCTAGAAACCCAGCAGATGCTAGTACCATGTTTGTTGAACTTCCTAGCTTCCAGAATCCCAAGCCAAATAAACCTCTTTTTTCAAAATTTATTTTGTAAATTACCCAGTCTCAGATAGTATAGCAATAGAAAATGGACTAAGACACTGACATGCTCCAAGCAGGAAACTTTAGCAATATAGAAAAGCTCTTTAAAAATAAAGCAAAACTAAAAATCACCATAAACCAATGAACCATAAATAACCACTGTTACCATTTTTTGTGCTTCTTTCCAAACTTTTATTTTCAATGCATAGCATAGATATTATTTTTTTCCCAAATGGGAGAGTATTGCACACACTGGTTTTATAATATATTTTAATTTCCAAGTGTATTCTTTTTAAAAATAAACTTTTTTTCTGAATTCTAATTTTATTTCATGGTGGGAAAAGTGCATGATAATCGATCTATGTATATTTTAAAAGAATAAGTATTCTGTAATTTTTGGGTATGGAATCCCACATATGTTAATTCGTTTTTCTGTGTTATTCAAATTGTTTACATCCTTATTAATTTTGGTCTTTTTTGTCTATCAACACAGAGAGGCATATTAAAATTTACCAGATTTGTTGGTTTCTCCTTATAATCTGTCAATTTTTGTTTCATGTATTTTGAGGTTATATTTTTAGGTACACAGACAGATTCATAATTGTTATATCTTCCTGGTCGACTATTCATTTTACCAATATGCTGTGACACTTTTTTTTGTTTTTGTTTTTGTTTTTGTTTTTTTTTGAGTTGGAGTCTCACTCTGTCGCCCAGACCGGAGTGCAGTGGCCGCTCCCGGCCACCGCAGCCTCGACCTGCTGGGCTCCGGCGATCCTTCCGCCTCAGCCTTCCAAGTAGCCGGGACTACAGGCATGCGCTACCACGCCCGGCTGATTTTTTGATTTATTGTAGAGATGAGGTCTCGCTGCCCAGGCGGGTCTCGAACCCGCGGACTCAGGCAATCCACTCACCTCAGCCTCCCAAAGGCGCGGGATTACAGGCTGAGCCACCGAGCCTGGCTTTGCTGTGACACTTTTTATTCCTAATAATATTTGTTGTTTTGCTGTATGTTTTGTTTAACATTAGCACAGCTGCATCAATTTT